TTCTACCAGACTACGTGGCAAAACAACCCAGAAGACAGCCATCTTCAGACTCACCGCTGTGAAAACTTCAAATCCTACACAACAGATGAAATTCTATAGAAAGTGTTACACAGAGTTAAAACTCACGAAAACCGTCACTATAAATCAAAATTTAAAAGTAAGTTTAGTGATTTAAGGTCTGAAATTAAACTATGAAAAAAATTTCCCTCGTGATATTTTTTGGTTTATTATATCCACCCCTGTTAACTCAGGATAAGGGATGGTTGAGTTAGTTAGACGTGGGGTGTGGGGGGGGTGGAGAGGTTTCTAACAAATCAGCTGTCAAGACCGGCATGACGGATCGCGTTTTAATATTATATCCCCTCTTCCGCACTCCCTCGCCGTTCTGTTTCCACGACACACTCTCTGCATACACTTTCAGGGGCAGGATAATGAAAACCGGTTTGGAGCCCACTGAATGTTGTGACAAGCAAAGCTTCCAAGCGCCAATGTGTCCTCTTTGTCAAATACTAAAAACGTTGTAAATTACATTGCGAGGTTTTCTTTCAGACATATACTGAGAGGGAGGTTAGCTACTCTGATATCTACCTTATTCACTAAGAGTATTATTTCAAGGCCGAGGAGACGTATATAAAAAAAAAATTTCTTCAGCTGTTACGAATTACGACTACCGGGCTGTTCCCTTTTGGAATGAATATAAAAAATATTAATATTTTATAATTTATAAAAAAATTTAAGAAAGTAACACGTCTCTTTCTGGAAGTTCTAAAACCTTTTCTTCGACAGTTGGTAGAAGCCATGTGGATGGGCTACACAGGACAAAACAGAGAAAGACCAAAAGAAACATAAATGCCTTGAGCGGGATTCGAACCCACGAGCCTAGTACCCAAGTAACCAAGTTGTTTATACCCAACGGACACCGTACATTACCACACAAAACGTGAACCCAGTGTTGAAGCCTCACGACCAGTAGATAACACGACCTTTCTGATTTATATAAACATGAAATGTTGAGTCATATTACACCTTTGATCTCTAGGAAAGGCGTTTGTGAAGTCTAAGAGTTTTCTGGGTTCAATGACCGTTGCATAGATCTGGGGATTCCCTCTCGCGCTATCAAGGCCATGTCTATGCAAAAACGGTTTAAATAAATTCGACAAGTTTTATTAAAACACCACGATTTCAACTTTAATAAAAAAAATTAGGTCGACAATTCTAATTTTTTTTTTTAATTTGGAGAGACGACCCCGAAATAGTGAAGCTAAAAGGAGGATTTTCTTTTAACTTTTAAATGCGAACGTCCCAATAAAAGTCAACAAATAGAGAAATATTAAAAATATAAAATACAAAGTATCCCAAAGACATGTATACACACATTTAATAAATTAAATAAAACCATTCGATTAGACTAACAATTACATACATACGTCAGCATTGGAACTTGGTGAATTATCGAATGTAACGTGGGGCTTTAAAGTTACCACCGCTGGCTCAGTTGACAGAGGTGAACAGCTGACTGACAAGCGACCACCAAAGTTAATACCGCGTATACATAATATTCGAACATTCTGTATAAAGGATGTTTACGATTTGACTTTAACTGAAACTTACCCCACGTCTTGTCAGGTAACATCAAAATGCCGAACTCACCTGCAACAATAAACATATACATATATATAACATATATACAAAATAATGTAACTGAGGTATTTATCTACGTGATCCTAGACCTCTTTCTTATTCTGGGTATAACGAGTTATAATCCAGATCCGGGAACTGACGTCCGGTTATCCGGACTTACGGTCTCGACTACAATTACATTGGACTTTACGAGGTGCGATCGGAAGGTTTCCAGACTGCGCGTATAAAAACCCGTACATTTATCTCAGGTATTAAATTCATCCATCACCCTCGAAGTAGTTCCCCTGGGAGTGAACACGACGATCCCAGCGCCGCTGCCAAGCCTGGAAGCATCCCTGGAAATCTTTCTTTGTCAGCCTGTTAAGCACCATCTGCGATTCTGCCTGAATCTCTTGCCAAAGACTCGCAAAAACGGCTACGGAAACCTATGAAATGCTAAAGCAAGCATTTGGGGAGTCCGCAATGGGTCGTGCACAAACGTTTGTGTGACATTCACGTTTTAAAAATGGCCGAACCTCTGTCGATGATGACGAGCGTTCTGGACGACCATCTTCGAGCACAACGCCCGAAAA